AAACCTTAGACAAAATCACACGGGAATATTCAGATCTGCGTTGCTGTTGTCATGTTTAGGTATTAAACAGCTTCACAAACTGTCTTTTCAACCACACTGTATAATTATATATGTGTTAGAAATATTCATATTATACTGGGATAAAGGTTTATAGTCTGGATATAAACACTGATGTCTACGTTAGCGATCAAAATAGAGTAAATCGCCTTTTGAAAGTAACATGGCACTTCAAATAAAGAGTGTATCAATTACAGCGTTACACCAGTAGGTGGCGACAAGTGACTGTTAAAAAATGTATTTGTCATTGAATCATTCACTCAACCCAATTAAAAAAAAATGCATTCAGATTACTAGATACGGAAGCGTATTGCATTCACTTGAAGAAAAAAATTCTACTCTGTTTTTCTGAATTAACGAGTTATTTATCTCAGAATTACAAGATATTTTTTCATGAAAAAAAGTTTTTGCTCTGTTTTTCTGAATTAACGAGTTAATTATCTCAGAATTATGAGATACATTTTTCTTGAAAAACATTTTTTTCACTCTGTTTTTATGAATTAATGAGTTACTCATAATTTTGAGATAATTAACTTGTTAATTCTGAAAAACAGTACAAAAACTTTTTTCCATGAAAAATGATCTTGCAATTCTGAGATAATTAACTCATTAATTCATAAAAACAGAGTAACATTTTTTTTTCAAGAAAAATGTATCTCATAATTCTGAGATAATTAACTCGTTAATTCAGAAAAACAGAGCAAAAACTTTTTTCCCATGAAAAATTATCTCGTAATTCTGAGATAATTAACTCGTTAATGCAGAAAAACAGAGTAGATTTTTTTCCTCAAGTGAATGCAATACGCCTCCGTAACTAGAACCTCTAGTAAATTGCATGTTTTTCCGTATCGGTCCGATTAATGACAGTCAAGAAGAACGAGCAGATCGACCCGAACTTCCTTCGTAAGCATGACTTGTGCAGGATGTTTCACAGTGGTATTTTATTTTATTTTTATACCTGTTACACTTCAGATGTGATTATTATAACTGTGTTATTTCTCCATTAACACACTGAACTGCACGCTTCAGAAAGCAGTTGTTGCTAAAATGGGTAGCACTTTATTTTACAGTCCCGTTTCCCATGTACTGTGTAATTATTATAGTAATTGCAATAACTAGGTACTAACCCTGAACCCACCCCTAACCTTAACCCCTGTAGTTACCTTATATTACCCGGTACTTTCTTAGGTATTTTCATATAAGTGCACGGACTGTAAAATAAAATGCAAACCAAAAATGCTGAGAACACAACAAAAAGGTTGAAGTTGTATTGCTGAGGAATAATGTTAAAAATACATTTTAACCACTGATTCCGATGGAAAACAGCATTCAACACTTCAACACACTCTAACTAACCCACTGATGTCACATGGACTACTTTGATGATGTCTTTATTTCCTTTCTGGACAAGGACAGTATACCGTACATACATTTACAATGGAGGGACAGAAAGCTCTCGGACTAAATCTAAAATATCTTAAACTGTGTCCTGAAGATGAACGGAGGTCTGACGGGCTTGGAGCGACATGAGGGAGAGTCATTAATGACATCATTTTCATTTTTGGGTGAACGAACCCTTTAATTGCGCAGATATTAACAATACATACATAATATCTGTATTACATACATAGTCTCCAATGCCATCTCTCTCATGTTCGTCCATCCTCGGGATGCTGCTGTTCTTCTTCGTGCGATTGTTTTTTTTTTTTTTTTTTTTTTTTTTTTTTTTAAACAGTAAAGCGGAAATCCCGCCCTACAGCCGATTCTAAAGATTTGATTGGTCATGTGAATCACAGCGTAACCTTAACCAATGAAATTAGCTGCAGGGCGGGATTTCCGCTTAACTGGTTTGCGCCCAATGGGATTTTTGTTATTTTTTAATAGAAAGATTAAAAATACGGGGAAATATTTCAACGGGATGATAGTGGGATAGCAAGGTAAAATACGGGAGAATCCCGGGAAAAACAGGAGGGTTGACGGGTATGGCCAATGCATGACATTGTGACGTAGCTACGCTGAGAAAATAATGGCAGGACTGCAAACGAGGCGTTCTGTTGCAGAGATTCAGGAACACACACACACACAGCTATATTAGACAGAGGTAAAGTGCATAATCGGTTCCCTTTAAGAAAAAATTAAGCATTTTTTTGGTCCATATTTTAAGACCCAAAGCAGATAAACACCTACATTTATTTTGAAATTGCATTGATGCCTTTTTGCTTCATATAATTGACTAGTTTATTCTCTTGACTAGGTATCAGATGATCCAGGATGGTGGAGTTTGGATCAACCACCAGAGGGCAGCAAACCCAGAGCAAGTTCTGGTTCTGGGTCAGCACATTCTCTCTAGTGGACTCAGCCTGATCCGAGTGGGCAAGAGGAACTTCTACATCCTAAAGTGGCTTAGTATGTGAATCTCCAACTCGGATATACACCGTTTTGCATTCAAAATCAACAGTGTGTGCAATTGTGGACCCTGTGTGTAACACACACGATCCTGCAATCCCGGCGCTCGCCAGCAGTGGTCGCTAGAGGATCTGTTTCGGGTCAGGACCGTAACCTGTGCTCTGTCTGCTTGAACTCATCAAAGACTTGGAAATTATACATTGAATTGAATTGTGCTGTTGAGAAACCCCATATGAATGTCTGTGGAATATATCAAAGACATGAGAACAGACTTTGCCTTGTTTGTGCCTGTTTTATTTGGACAAATTACACGTTTTGATGTGTGAATATGCTCTTGATTTTAAATCACACTGGAAAACTGGGTTCTGTTCAACTCTTTAATTAAGTGTGATATTTTAACGGGTTTTTTTTTCCAGTTCGGCCAGTTCTGAGGTGAAACTAACATGTTGCAATATGATGTTATATATTAAATACATTTAAATGTCAGGTTTATTTTTAAAGCACATTTAAAAGCAACAAATGTTGTACTGAAATGATGTACAATAAATTCATAAAAATGCAATCAATGCAAATTTATGCAGAATTAAACCCGTTCACACCAAGAACAATAACTATATTAGTTTCCACACCAACGCTATTTTTATTTCGTATCACATATTTTAGTAATTATACCGTAAATTGGGTATCATTTGAAAGCTTACGAACTCAAAATTCATCATGTGAAAACCATTTTGAAATTGGATGTTGCCTTACCATGAAAACGGTACTTAAAATTATATTAGCGGACGCCTCTAGTGGTCAGTTTTCATATTACAATTTATTAATAATTTATTTTCTAATCTTGACAAAACGCATATCGTCGGAAAGGTCCGAGTCTCAAGGTTACATATTTGGTGACACTTTGGTGATTGAAGTGATATTTGGACAGAAATTGATTTTGTTACAGGAGAATGCATAAAAAATATCTATATTTTTGGTTCAGCGCCTAAACAAAATCGCATAAGAACTTCACTTTTTGTGATATCAAATTCAAATTTGGAACACAACTTACTTGGATGTATGGCTTTGATTTTATAATAATTTTACAGTAAAAATTATTTTGTAAAATATATATTTTATATAAAATAAAAAATGTTTAGTACACTGCATTTGATATACAGTAAATTTAAACTTTCATAAAGTTTTCATACTTACATTTTTGAAGTGCTTTCACTTTACAATAATCTGCTAATAATAAAGCTAGCTCGCTATTGCTAGCGTCCGAAAATTGCCTATCCTACCTTTAAGACGATATGTTATTACAGAAATACTCTGGTAGGTGATCTGTGGAACAAATCAACATTTTTATTGAGCTTTCTTAAATTTGGTGTGTTGACGAGAGATGAGATGCTCATCATCGTCATCATCAGCCGTGTGTAAAGTTGTCAGATTAGAAACAGTAGCCAAAGACTAGTTAAAAACTGTTTGTGACACACCTCACGTGACGCATACAGACTCAAGTGTGAGTCTCAGTTCTTGTTAGGATGATTGCGAGGTCTAATCTGCTTTTGTTCCTGGAAATGTTTTGCCAATTGCAGCTTCTCACTACTTGGAACAACTTATTGTGAATCTCTTGTTGTACTTCCCCATTTTTTTAGTGTCTCAAATTTAAACATCACCTTCAGATACCAGAGACTAACACATTACAGTTTATGAAATCAAACATATATTAGTTTCTATGAATAAATTGTGTTTAGTCACATTAGAAGTATTAGACTTTCTTAAACCCGTATTAATACCTTTTAGATGTAATATATCCAATTCTTATTTGAACTTTGGGGTTTTCCTCAGGATTTCAAGGACAATATTGAGAAAACCTCAATAAGGCAGTGACTCAGTCACTGATAATCATCTCAGATTTTTTAAACTAGTTTTACAGTACAGTTTAGGCAAGGAACTAGATTTAAATTCTGCCTTTAACATCTTTTAATAAATGTTTGATTCATTTAAGGAGGAAACATTTTCGTAAGTTTCCTGATAAAGCTGTTATACAAACTTTTAGTTTCGGTTTCACTGGGAATTTTAAGCATTTGCACAAGATTCCATTGTTCTTTTTTTAACTGTTACAGAACTTGACATCCAACGTCATAAGCCGGTCGATAGTGATTCACAAATGAATCGTTTGTTTTGAACTGGACCTTTTAAATGATTCAGCCGAATCAATGTGCGCAGCATTTGTGAATCACTCACCTGTAGGAAAACTTAATTTAGAAGTAAGTAAACCAATATTTCCTACGCGTTTTTTTTAATTATTTAGTCAACACATTCATTAACAATTGAAAACAGCAGAAAGTTATTCGAAAACTTAGCGATATTAGCAGCACTGAAACAAATAGGCACGTTAAATGCCGCGCGGCGAATTCTGCGGATTACCGAATCATTTAATGAGCCGGTTCAAAAACGAAGCATTCGAACGAACCGACTCGTTCATTAAAACGACTCGGAGGCTCGTCTAGGGCGGCTAGGGTGTTTGTTGATCTTCTTTCTCTCGGACTGTGAGTGGGGGATGTGCGTTGAGAGAAGGCGGATCTCTGAGGCACCAATCCACGGCGTTCCTTTGGTGGTTTAAAGAGCTCTTTGTGTCAATCACGCGTTTTTTTCGTTCTCTATCCCCCTTCATCGCCATATTGGGCGCAGAAAAGCCTCGCCTTGTTATTTCTCTTCCCCTCTTTTACTACGACGTGCAGTTGACAGGAGTGGCCATCGAGAACGCCTGCTTTTGTTTTGATGATCGTCGCTTGTCCGTGTTTCTCGCTCATGCGGCGCAACCGGGGCGAGTTTAGCCTTAACGCCCGTCGCTTTGGATCGCGTTGACGCTTTATAACAGCTGTTGGCTTTGCGTTTTCGACTCGAAATGTCTAACGTTCGCTTGTCTAACGGCAGCCCGACGCTGGAGCGAATGGAGGCGCGAGTGTCCGATCAACCCAAACCATCGGCGTGTAGGAACCTGTTCGGTCCGGTGGACCATGAAGAGTTAAAGAAGGATTTCCAGCGGCAGTTGAAGGCGATGGAGGACGCGTCGACGGACGCGTGGAACTTCGACTTCTCCGCGCACACGCCGCGCGCCGACGGCAGATTCCAGTGGGAAGCGTTGGATATTCGCTCGGTTCCCGGTTTCTACAGCAGATCCGAGCGAGGGAAGGGCTCCAATCTTCATTTGTGCTCCTCTGGGAATAATAACGACAATAATGTGGATGTTAACGGGAATCACGAGTGTCGGGTAACGGAGGAGCGCGAGGAGACGCCCGAGACACCCCGAGAGCCGCGGAAAAGACCCTCGTGTCTCGGTATGCGCGCTCACTGTCTCTCTCACACATTATCCTATTTATCAATCTGAATTCAGCAGAGTTGCGCATCTGAATTTTCACTTTGCTCCTATCTATCTATCTATCTATCTATCTATCTATCTATCTATCTATCTATCTATCTATCTATCTATCTATCTATCTATCTGTCTGTCTGTCTATCTTTTCACACGTTCATGTAATTGCATTTTAACTTATGTTTGTGAAGCCCAACGTTTGATGTAATAAATGCCCATTTTAAAAATAAATGCAAACATTTGCATGTACAAGACAAATTATGATACACAACAATAGTATGCATTTGAGCTTTTACAATCATGCACAGATAAAATAAAATAAGTTAAAATGTAGTTGCATTTGCTCTTAACTTAAAATGAATGATTCAGATTGGTAGATACAAGACATGTTTTTACACCGTTTCTTAGTATTTTACGTGTTTTTAACCGATGTGAGATGACAAATGCATGTTTTGACTCATCAGACTCCTCGTGTCAAAGCAAACACTCTCACATCTGTGTGGATGAAGTGACCCGAACGCCCAGAAAACCCAAAAAGCCCAGAAAACACCCCAACCCGACGACACCCACATAAACACAAGGTAAGCACGACTCCTTTTGCTTTTTGCCTCTTATCATTTGAGCAAATTTACACAGAAGAGCGCTTAGAAACACTGTTTTACAAAAAAACGTAATCATATAGGATTAGTACCCAGTTTACCATGATGTTATAATGTACAATGTTAGCGTTTTATTTTTTTATTTAGCGTTTTAAAGCATCATGGAAGTGCATGAAAGGGTTAATATGGTGCATTTACTACGAGAGCTCGAGTTTCCTTCAGAGTGAAAAACATTTTACACGTCAGCAGTGTGTTCACTCACGAGTGTGTGTTCACACCTGAACGACGTTTTTTATTATTATATGCATGCATGTATCCCTGTGCAAATATGCCCAGTGCATTGCAATGAATTGCATGTAAACATGATTAAATGTTTACATGCAGTGTAATAATGTAAATGCAATGTGAAAGTGTGAGCTAGTTGTGTTTAAGTGCAGGTTTCAGGTCTAGGTGGAACACCTGGCGAGCGAGTCCAGTAATCTGATGTAACCATAGGATGATGTTACTCACTCGGTCATGTGAGGAAACGTCCTGCCAAATCAATATGTCACCGCGGGCCGCTAGTCAATGAGCAAATAACAGTCGGTCGCGGCACATTTGTAAAGTCATAACATTAGCAATGAAGAGTGCTTTGCTTTGGTGGGACTCGAAACGTTTCATGATCTCATTTTCCAGTGTTTTTTTGTGTACTTTTTTTTTCCTCTCTAAGTTTCATTCAGTTTTCTGCGGGTTATAGTCTGGTTTGTGGTGCAGTCGACTCAAATATTCAGTTAACGTTTACAATATCGCCGTGTATTTATGGTGCGGAAAATAAATTAGGTGAATGACCCCCCAAAAAAAAGAAAAAAAAAAGACCTAAAAATGGAAACTTGCGTAATTTTTATAAAAAATGCATGTTAAACGGCAGATGTAATGTGCAATTCTTTGCATTTAACGCATGTATGACGATGTTTCTGAACAATAACGTGTGTTCTCTGATGTTTCCTGACAGGGCTGATGACCTCAGTGCTTGCTTGGTGAACGAAAGATTTTTTTGGGTGGAGAAAGTGGAGCGGAAAATAAAACATATCAACTCTAAGAGTGTTCAAGCACTGAAACAGAAACACTAAAGTTCTGGCACTCAAGAAAAAAAAGCAACTGCGTCTGAACGCAGTGTATGTAGCAGTGTGCAATTAGGTTTAATTTCCTTTTTTGCTCATTTTTTTCTTTTTTTTCTTACTACCTGTGTATATAAATATATATTTGTTCCTTTTCATATGTAGCACATAATTAGTATTATGTTTGAAAAATCTTCTTTTTTTTTTTTTTTTGGAGGTGTGAGTTTGGTTTGACTTGAAGAGCCACCATTGCCGTGTGTAGATTATTTCCGAAATGCTGTTCATTATTTCACGTTTTGAAGACGGTGTGCCTGTTTTCATATTGGTGGTGTTAAACAAAAAATCATTTTTCAGATGAGGTACACAAAATACCAGTTCTTTTGAAGGGATCCGGTTGGATCTGAACATCTCAGCCTGTTTTTTTTGTTTTTTTTTAAGGTGATGTAAAAGTTCAAACTCTGAGGTCAAACCTTTGTAGCATCGACCAGTATTACTATCAGGCACTTCCATGGAGGAGAAACATCTCTCACCCTCGTAAATTATTTCTTTGTAAGATGTTTCTCGATCATCTATAATTTGAGTGAAATTTTCTACTGATATTTTTTTGACTTTGACTCGATCACCCTTGATTTCGCCTTGTTTTTTCACTGCAGAAGTGGGTGTTTCACCCCACCAAACCGAATGCATCTAAAACACTCTACAAATATAGATTCTGTGGTGAAACCTGATGCATGACTGTATTTATAGAGAAAGTAAATATTAATATTTGAACGATTTACACTGTGTATTTGTGTACATAACTTTGTAAAAACACTGAGAAAATTAAAACTAACTTATTTATATCAAGCTTTTTTTTCGAAATTAAAAAATGTTTTTTTGGTCAAGGTTTGAGTCATTATTTTTGTAAATGCTTATTTTTTTGGTAGCTTCTTCCTTTCTGTTTTTTATTTTGTTGTAATTATTATTTTAACAAATTGTAAGAGGTTGCAAACTGAGCCTGATTAAAATATTTGATAAGTGCTTTTTTTGTTATGTGTGGTTATACAATGTGCTGCAATCAATTAAAAGATCATTAAATTATTTCAACCCACATCTGTCTTATTTGAACATTATATAATATTCTGTCAAAATGCAACACGTGTGGTGAATTAAATACTACAGAAATTGTTTTTATTTCTACCTGAATAAGTTAGATCAGGCAAATTCTATATTAGTGCTCAATTTAGGTTTGTAGAAATTAAAGCGTAAATATCAAACTTATAAAATTAAGTAAAACCTATTAAACTTTCTGATACTGGTGTTCCCAGTAATAATTAATAAGGTTGCATTTTCACTGTTTTGACACTTTTATCATTGCTTTTTGTTGTTAGGTTTAGTAACCACATTATTTCTATAAGATACACTGTAAAAAGTGATCTGTTGACAACTTAAAAAAAAAAAAAAGTGAGGAAACCCACTAACTTAAAATTATCAAGTAAATAATTCCACATAACTTATTTTTTTCAATTACATATGGTTTATTTACTTAATAATTGTAAGGCAGTCGATTTCCTCACTTTATACAGTCTACACAGTCTCTACTGTATTATTTACTTAGATGTTCTTCTAAGTAAAGTGTATTCACTTTAAAAGCATGGCTTAATTCAGGGTTATATTGTTGGAGTAAAATATACTTGAAACAGAATATTGTAAAATAAACTTCAACTAAGTAGAAATGACTCAAAATTTAACTGGCCAATACATTTTCTGATTGTTGTTTTCAGTGAATGTGCATTTAAAGTTAGAGCAGGCAAACAAAAATAATGCACTTTTTTTTTAGCTGTAAAAATGCACAATGTTATAGCCTTTCTTAATGCTAAAGAGAATAAAAAAATAGTATTTTTAGCCATTCCAGAGACCAATACAATCCTTTAGTTATGCAAGAAGCTGGTGAAATAAAAATGATTTGAGGTCCGCGCCCTGCGTGACCTTTCTTGACTAGGTTTGGCAAGCAGGCGCTCGTGTCATTTACCCGTCTGAATGAAACACACACATGCCAACGGTTAGTCACAGCGCTGACTCAAACACAAACTGACAGTGGGAGTGGCGAGAGGCACAGGTGCTCCTCACTGCTAGATTATTTCTGTTTTACTTCATTAACTCTCCAACGTCTCGTTTTCAAAATCGTCTAATCACAATTATGCATTTTGTTTGCTGTTCCACACAAATCAACAAAATGCGTTTCAGTCAAATGTGTAGCTATACAAATGTCAAATTTAATTTGCATGACAGAAACATTGTAAGTGTGGGTATGTCACTCTTCACTCGACTCTCTCATCCATGACATTGTTCTGAAACCCGCCAAAAGAGGCGAGAAAAAAGCCACGTGATATTTTAATGGCTGGTTTGAGTGTGCCAAGCATAGCACAACGTGTGTTTATTCATGTGGCATCAGTTGATCTGCCGGAGAGCGTCTTTACCGCCGGGATCAGGGACGAGCAACAAACACAGGCGTTTTGGACAGACAGAGGGAATTTCGTGGAGTTTCCAATCCAAGTGCGGATGTTACGATTTGACCTTTATGAAATGCAATTAGAAACTGACAGGTATAGCGCTCAGTGCCCAGTCGGGTCGAATCGAGGCAAAACAGCGGGCATGTCCCATTCACCTCCTTTAAAAACATTGCAAAAGTATTGTAAGATTCTTCAAAGTCTCAAAAAAAAAGAGAAATCTCAACATGAACTCAAACATTTCTCCCTGAATCCTTCCAGAAATGCTATTCATTAGGTCAATACTAAAATACAGAACAGTATTTCCAGCTGAAATTCGCAAAGCACAATCACTTGCGCTTTTTAAATCACATTTGAAATATTTGTTAGGTTGGCTTATTTGTGATTTAACAAAAATAAATAAACATTTGCTAGACGTAAACTCAAAATATCAAGAAAGAAAGTCTCTAGAATTGTGATTTTTTATTTATTTTTTATTGCAAGGTGGGACATGGTGAAGAAAAAAAATATGAGATGGGTGGAAAAATTATGTCAACGCAAAGTTGTGAGAGGGAACGCAACATTTTTGTGAGGGAACGCAAAAGTTTTGTGAGGAAACAAAAGTTTCGTGAGGAAACGCAAAAGTTTCGTGAGGAAACGCAAAAGTTTCTCAGGAGAACGCAAAATTTTTGTGAGGACACGCAAAGTTTCTCGAGGGAACGCAAAAGTTTTGTGAGGGAACAAAAGTTTTGCAAGCAAATGCAAAGGTTCTTGGGAGAACGCAAAACTTTCGTGAAGGAAACGCAAAGTTTCTCGTGAGAACGTTAAAGATTTCTGAGCGAACGCAGAATTTCTCGGGGAACGCAAAAGTTTCGTGAGGAAATGCAAAAGTTTCGTGAGGAAACGCAAAAGTTTCGTGAGGAAACGCACAAGTTTCGTGAGGAAACGCACAAGTTTTGTGAGGAAACGCAAAAGTTTCGTGAGGAAACAAAAGTTTCGTGAGGAAACGCAAAGTTTCGTGAGGAAACGCAAAGTTTCGTGAGGAAACGCAAAGTTTCTCAGGAGAACGCAAAAGTTTCGTGAAGGAAATGCGAAGTTTCTTGTGAGAACGTTAAAGTTTCGTGAGGGAATGCAGGATTTCTCGAGGGAACGCAAACGTTTTGTGAGAGAACGTAAAGTTTCTCAGGAGAACGCAAAAGTTTCGTGAAGGAAATGCGAAGTTTCTCGTGAGAACGTTAAAGATTTATGAGGGAACGCAGAATTTCTCGGGGAACGCAAAAGTTTTGTGAGGAAACGCAAAAGCTTCGTGAGGAAATGCGAAGTTTCTCGTGAGAACGTTAAAGATTTGTGAGGAAACGCAGAATTTCTCGGGGAACGCAAAAGTTTCGTGAGGAAACGCAAAAGTTTCGTGAGGAAA